TTGTAAAAAAAAAAAAAAAGTGACATTTTTTAAGCCATATATAAAAATAATACTATAATTTGACAAATTGACCAAATAGATAGCATTAGTCAAATTATTGTATCTCTTTCTGATACCATCCACGTCAGCATTTTATTTGGATGGACTGATTGATGCATCATATTTGATTCATTTGTAAAAGTATTGTATTCTCTTGTGATATGATCCAAATAAATGACGGACTAGGTGTATCTTTCGATAAATTTAGCCGTTTTTATTATCAATGATTTGTCTACTTAATTTGTTATATATGATGTGCAAATTAATTACACAAATAGAAAAAAAAGAAAAAATCGAAAAAAGACATTAATTACGTGGAAATAATTAGGGTGACGAGGATGGTGACGTGGTACCGGACGACGATGAGTTGCCTGTGATCGGATTTTGGGGTGCGTTTATATGGTTGGTTTTGATGACCGGTGTTGTTGCTTTGCTGTCGGAATATGTGGTTGCTACAATTGAAGTAAGTTAAAATTTTGACCAAAAAATTATATATATATTATATCATTATATTGATATAATCCTAAAAATATTGTTTTTATTTAGTTATAAAAGTAGCTAAATGATATTTATTTTTATTTATTTTTTAATTATACAATATATATAGGCTGCATCAGATAGTTGGGGCTTATCTGTGAGCTTCATCAGTGTGATTTTACTGCCAATTGTTGGGAATGCAGCTGAACATGCTGGAGCTATCATTTTTGCATTCAAGAATAAATTGGTAATAAGATATTGAATTAAGTATTATTTTTTGTTTATGTGAAATATTTATTATTAATTATTAATATAAGTATTTTTGTGAAATTGCAGGATATATCTTTGGGTGTTGCTCTAGGCTCAGCTACACAGATTGCCATGTTTGTGGTAAGATAATGTGACAATTTAATATTTTACACAACTATAATTGTCAAGAGGTGTGAAACTCATTCATATTCCCAACTTGATCTCCAGAGTTTTACAA